CTTGCCCCATTCACCTGCCAGCCACAAACACCATACTGCTGCAGCTGCGCTGATGCCAAGTGGCCAGCAGGGGGAACACTGGAGTGGAAAATACAGGGCAATTTGCCCACTTTTTCCCCCCTAAAGTCAAGACACATGCAGGGGGGCTTAAATAAGGGACTGTCCTGTTAAAAAGGAGACAGATGTCACCCTAAGTATAGCTGCTGTCCACATTAGCCTCAGACATGTCAACTGTACTAACATCTATATCAAAACATATTTCAGTTTGTGTAGATTCCTAGATTGCCGGCTGTGTAAAACACGCAACTGCCTGCATATATGTTTCCCCCCAAATTCATGAGTTCTTCCTATGTTAGTGCTGCATGTGCTAATGCTAGTGCAAGAACAGGACTTCACCCTGGTCATTTAATGTAACGGAGTTCAACCTAAGGTTATTAGATTGATGTAAATCTGGGGTGACTATGAAACTGAGATCAGAAATTAGAGTCCAGTGCACTGAGTCAGTGTTTAACAAAGTGAGGCAGGCACTACCATGGACCACAGCACTAAGTCTCCATCAGGTCAACCATTTACCCTTATCTTTATTTACAGCACCATCCACTTGTAAAATACACACTGAAGTTCAATAGTATAGAGTTTATCCCTTGTCTCAGCTACTAGTTTAAACTTGCAGATTGGCATGGACCACAAGACAGAAGACTAGCTTAAGCAGGTTTGACTATTAAAGTCTTGCAGAAATCCGGACTAGACTTGTTAGTTTTTTGGAATACAGTGATTGCCTAAACACTCCAGTACTATAACATTTTATTTGACATCAGCAAGATACCAAAATCTTGTAGTTTTTTGGGCAGGTTTATACAATCTCAATTTTTCAATAGTGCAACCTGTGCAAGCAAGAAATGACAAACATTGTCCTTCACTTTCTTATAAACATCTACTATTATATGCAAAACAAAAACCTTACCCATATTATAGATAAGTGACTATTCACATTTATACATTAATTTCTTTCTTTTAAACAGCTCCAGATAAATATATGTTGCAAGACACTGTAGAGTTTAACAGTATTCAAGTTACTGGGTAACAGAAACAGCACATATAGCGGAACCCTCGAGAGTTTCTCATTGTCTGATTTACAGCTCACCTAAGGTTTCATTTTACAAATGACAAATTAAATTACATTAATGAATTAAAAATATAAGATTGTATGAGATGCAAGTGAATTTGCACTTAGTTTCCATGGTCAGCTCACATTAAAGAAATATTTTAATTTTAAAGGAAAGGCTTTTAGCCACCTTTGCCTTACACATTAGGAACACCATTATTAAAATCAAGTAACTTTTTAATTTAAGATGCTTATAACAAAAAAACATGTTGCAGACTCAAATATATAATCTCCATGAGAGAACTATAAAAATGCAATAACCAATGCTGTACAATTGTTTCTTTCCAAATTCTTGCCTGGGGTATTTACCCTGTTCATGCCAGTTTCCAATGACATGCACTGTCAAACAAACTGGGAAGGAACCTGAATGAACGCATGATGCGCAATCTCTAGTTTTCATGCTTATATAAACTTATAAGTTGAAGAGAAAAACCCAATATATATTTTCTATATATATATATGCACTCAATGTTATCTTCCACAGTAATGGCATCAATGTATACTGTGTTAAACCCTGAGCACTGTATGACAAGATAAATAAAAATAAAGCCTGTTTGGGAATTTTCAAGCATTTTCAAACTAATTGTGGTTTGTGGCTTAAAAGGCCAAAAGTAAAAGCAAACAGGAAGCTCCACCGAGAGCAGACAGATGCACCACCATAAGCAACTGCTGGCTTTCAGTTCTACCATCCTTTGTGTACCTTTTTATTCCCAGAGTACTTTTGAGAACATACAACTGTACTGGAAAAAAAAAAGTTATATATCTTTGGAATCTGCCCCTGATTTTTATGGAAGTGATATGCTTTTACAGCCTTTTCTTGAATAGTAAAGTCAATACCGTAGTCTGTCCTCTTATGCATTGTTGAAGTTGGTGATGCTCTGTGGGTGATGCTGTTGCCATATCTGCTGCTGCTGTACTGCAAGTTGTTGAGATTGGTCTGATGTTGACAAAAGGTTTACAAGGGGCGATACACAATTTGCAGGAATGAGCAAACCTGTAATTAGCAATAAGTCAGTTGTACTTACTAAAATGCATAAAACATTTGTATGTTTAAAAACTTCTAGGTTCCTTGTATGTCAGCAAGAGCTTTTGCATAGATTTTACTTTCAACGTCAAAGCCTTAAGAACTTATAAGCACTGCAACAGGTTCTGTTTCCAACTAAAAGTAATCTGATCCTTCAGTCACAGACTAGCAGATAAAAATGCAAGTTGCCTTTAGGGAAGTACAGCTTGAACTACTCTTGCTGTACCTAGAGCTAAATGATGCACAAGGCAACACCTGGATGTTTATCCTCTCCTGGTTTGATAGAAGAAGTCACAAAAGCACAGAAGTTCAGGGACGAAGAGAAAAAAATCCAGTTGAAACCAGTTTTAAGTGTCACTACACTCAGTGGCCTTAAGATGGAGGTAAGCGAAGAACATGGAAACCTGGGAGGGAACATGGGCTATAATAGCAGAGAAAATGGAGGGACAAGGCAGAACTGGGAGGCAAGATCAAATCAGTATCTTAGATGCCTGTATACAAATGTAAGAAGCATGAGGAATGAGCAGGAAGAACTTGAAGTGCTAATAAACAAACACAACTACGACATCCTTGGTATCACAGAGACTTGGTGGGCTAATACACACGACTGGAATATTGGTATAGAAGAGTACAGCTTGTAGTAAGATGAAGGCCTAAAACATAAGCCGATGCAGCACAGGCCTGGCCTGAGGCCTAGCTAACAATGGACAAAACATGGCTAACAAAGCAAAGCTAAACTGTGAGCAAGAGGCAGTCCCCAGCTCACAGAACTTGGCACAATCAGGGCTGAGAGTGCAAAACACTAATTGGTAATAGGCCCAGGTGTACACCAGTAATTGGTACTGGGCATAAGTTGAAATCACGTTTAGGAAAAGGTCTAAAATGACAGAATGATGATCTAAATCAAACCACGAGGTACAGGGTGATGGGTGGTATCTAAGTCGCGTCAGAGGGTGGTAACCTGGCAACGTCAGTAGTGAGGTGTGATTTGTTTGTACCTATAAAGTGGTGTCTTTCTTGGGGGGACAGCCTTTGTATGACTGGGGGGGCAGTGGAAATTTCTCACTGATTGAGTCATTCCATTGTGGCAAGTACATGTGTGTAGTGGTTCAGTAGAGTCTATTGACAACTGTTACTGTACTTCGCTTAGCAATAAACCTGGCCGGGCACCTTCGATCCTTATCTGGTTTGTGGTCTTTGGGGGCCCTCTCCGGGTCTGCGGTGGTCATTGGGCCCAGATCATTGAGCACACATGCAAGCAGCCTTCTTGTTATCACTGATGGAGCCAGAGACCTGTGAGGACACCATGGCAGTAAATCCTCCTAACTACAACCCCTCCCCTCCAGTTTTAAAACAGAAATGGAGCCCTGCAGCCATGTTTCTGCAAGGCGCTCAGGGCTGCAGGGCAAGCTGGGGAGCCTGCCTGAGGCTACCCCATGACCCTCTGCC